GGGGGGTGGTGGGTTTTTTGTTGTTGTTCAGAGTAGAAAAACATTTCAAGTATTTTCAAAGTAATATAAATGAATCTTTCTCTTTTAGCCTCTTCTGAAGCAGTCGCCCTGGAGTAATCAGAGTAGCGGCTGGAGCACAGGAAATATATCCTGGGGAGGAATGCATGGCAGAGACCATCGTAGAACTGGAAACATGGGAATTCCAGGAACTATGAACCAGATTTCTCCTTTGAAGAAGCCCTTTTCTGGTAATGTCATAGCTCCTCCTAAATTTACTCGCTCCACTCCATCACTGACACCAAAATCGTGGATTGAAGACAATGTTTTCCGAACTGACAACAACAGTAATACTCTTCTCCCCTTGCAGGTAAGGACGGTATGTAACTGGTGTGTTTGTAGTTTTGCATAGTGTTTTCACATCACTCATTTTAAAGGACAAGTAAACAGTGGTTACGGCACTGGTACGTGGTTTGAAAATTGTATATTTCTATATTAGTTTTAGTCCTAAATTGCAACTAACCCCAACATTTTCAATGTATTCAGCAATATATGATTCTAGCAGTTAATTAAGAATATTGACTTTCAAGAAAAATAGAAACTCTAGCCACTGATGCAGCAGTAGAGCAAAATACAATTAATCTAGTATTTTCAGCATATGGTAACGCTCATATTCTTACCAACCCCTTTAAAACTCGGGATTTTTTTGTTCTCTTGTCCTTGTAGGTTTTCTTACTTCTGTAGATGGCTCTGAGCCTTTGTCATGTTCGTCTTTTACTCATGTCCTAGGCTATAACATGTTAGTGAGGGTTTTTTTCTTCCCTCCACATTCTGTCAACTCTACTGTTATGTTTTGGCTGGAAGCTCTGTCACTTAGAAGTATTAAACAGGAGGATGTGCCTTAGAACTAAAGATCTGGGTTCGCCTCCTGAATTTTGCCAGTGACATCTAATGTGACTGTAGGTAAGGCACAACTCCAGCCTGAGTTACCTACAGGTAGAATATTATTTTTCCCATTCTTGCATATATTCCCTTAGTCACAGCATTTCTTGTTAGCGGAGACCTTTCTTATTTTGGATCCCAGTCTCTGGTGCCATTCTAACAATTAATAGTTTTTGCGTGTTTTTTATTTTAAGTTAAAAAGAGAGCTTGGGCAGCTTACGTTAGAAATGATGAGTTTTAAAATAGAAAGTAGATTATGCCATTAACTCTGTACATTCTTCCATTTTCATGATGCCTGTGTTAGCTTTAGTTTTTGTTTCACACTGAGCTGCTATTACTATATTCCAGCAAAAGTAAAAAAGATAATATGCAGAGACAATCATTAGAATGGTCCTTTATCTCCCCACAAGGCTATTATAGTTGGGTTTTGTTAGGTTTTACACAGAGTTATCTGGAGTTATTTGTCGTAACTGTGACCATATTCGAGTTTGCACAGCTGTATTTGCATGAATTAGCAAGCTAATCCTTATGTAGCTGCAGTAATGGCCAAAGGGTGCGCCCTAGGACCAAATTTCCCACTAGAGTTCCTATTTTTAACAATGTTTCTCGTGGAGTTCAATTTGGCATAAGGGACCATGTCCCAGCTCTGTCCAGGTGAGCTCTGTTCCTTGCGGTATTCTTGAGGCTAATGGTCATTCTTGGCCATACCTACGTTCTTCTCCAGATGTATGCTTTGGACCTGAAAACTTCAGAGGATTTACCTGCACTGTGAAGACCTGTTCTGTGAAGTGGCCTTGCTAGCTGCAGTATCCTAGATGAATGATTTTTTTTGTGGGTGGAAGGATGGGGGGGAAAAAGGTGCTATTCTTTGTGTATTCAACCCAATCTGTTAAGGAACACGAATTACTAGGTAATGCTCTGTGGTGGAGATCCCCAAGAATAGTTGAAGGTAAACACTGGAATGTCTCCTGAAGATGTTAGCCTAAGGAACAGGGTTAAAAATGCCGTCGTATCGTGAAACTGGGGTGACGTGTGCGTTGGAATTCATGTGCAGCTAAGCACAAGTTGTGAATGCCGTTCAGCATGCCTTACAGGATGACTATTACTTAGAACTTTCAGAAGTTGCTACAGCCGTCATCTAATACAGACAAACTCGTTTTACGTCTAAACAAGTGTCTTGTGCGTTCCAGCTATGATCTAAATCATTCCTATCTAGTAGGGTAGTAAAAAATCCTTGCAATTTAACTTTTAAATTACATTAATGCTTCTGTTTGGGGTTGCTTTGACCCTTTTTGAAGAGGGTGTCAAAGAGAGAGGGTGGGCACACCTAAATGTTGTTGGGCTTACCTGTGAGAACCAGAGCTACCAATTAAATAGACCTGTTTGCCTAAATCTCCCTTACACATATGAAGTCATTGTTGCAGAACACAGTAAAAATACTCCTTTTTGAAGAGTTGCAGTGTTATCTACTGCTATTATGGAAACACTAGATGTTTCCATAAATTATTTTGCTGCATGGAAATCACGTTCTTACTCTTCAGTTATTATACTATTGTTAGATTGTTAATGCCTTGTGATGACTGCTACATTTTGCAAGTCATAATGAAAAAGTTTAAATAGAGCTCGGAGCTCGTGCTTCTTTTCATCAGGACTTGTGTTGGCAGTTGCAATGCTGTCAAACACCCATCTTGCTAATTTGTACTGTGCTTGTCTCCTTCCATAAAAGGCTGAGGTATTTAGATTGAGGATTCTTAAAGATACAGTAGCAATTTCAGAAGATGCTCAGAAATAGCAGTTGCTGAATTTTGTGCTATTTGGAAAGTCTTACACGAGAGCATTTGTGTCTAGGTAGAAGTTACCTGTTTCTTCCAAGCTTCCCCGCAGTGAGCACATCTTAGCACGCACGTTGAATACAAAAGTGCATCGTTCGGTTTTGCGGAGTACTTTGCTGCGTGATCGCACATCTTCATTTTTAAACGCTGTAATCACTTTTTGTGGCTGGGGACAAAGCACCTCCCCTCTGGACTTTAGCTGGCTCGAGCTGAGCAAATGAAAACAGCTTAGAAGTCGGTGTCCTCGCTGCCTAACTTTCTGTAGGCCGTTAATGCTCTGCTGCTATTTTTTTTGAATGCTGTGTTTTGCTAAGTCCGAATGGCATTCAGCAGTGTCAGCTGCTTATCCAGTTTCTGTAAAACATGTACCTGATGCAAACAAGATAAGCAGCACAGGAATTGTACATGAATTCAAAGCTTTTACCTTTCATGAAACTTCTTTATTCTTCGGTTTTTGCATTGATGGATGGTCTCCAGCAAAGAACTGTCACAAATTCTGATGAAAGCAATGTTTCTTGGTATTAAACCAGTATACCAGTGACAATGAATGTCATTATGGATAACAGAAAAAGTAATTATGCGTGTTACTTAAGCACGAAAAGTTTAAAGGGACGAAAGCAGATTTTCTGTACTTCATAGTTAAAACTCAAACATACTCCTTGTGAAGTTGAATGCACATTGGCTACACTAGTGACAGCAAAGCTGCTTTTGCTTACAGCAGGTATGAAGGACATCTCTCGGGAATTTTCCAGAGGTCTAGAGTTTTTGTTTGTTTTTTAAATAAAAGTAGTTAAACGTCATGGCGACACTGATCTAAATGTGAGCAAGTTAAGCCAATAGTCAGGTTTTTCTTATGTGACTCACTCAAAGAAGCTGTTTTTTTCCCCCCTCACCTTTTTCATAGGCAGTTTTTTCATAGGCAAAATTATGTCTACAAGTTCTGTAACACTTCTTGTACCATTTATAGTTATTTCATATAGGGAAGGGGACTGTTGCCTTGTACCACAATCATTAAGGAACAATTAGAAATCTTGTCAGGTTTTTCACACCATCTAACTTAGGCGTTTAGTTGAGGAGCCTATTCCTCTCTCCTTAGGGACACTCTAGGCTCCTTATTTAGATAACCTAATTCTCCAGAAGAACATAACTGGCGCCACTGACCACATACAGCCCCTGGGATTCCAGTGTAGGCACTTATGTTGCATGTCAAGAAGTTAGACGACACAAATAATCTCGTTTATTCCCTGATCAAAAATACAAAAAAAAAGAAAAAAAATATAGGGTGCAAAGCTAAAAATAAATTTCTAATCCCAGATACTGGGTGCTTTTTTCTCAAAAAAATCCCATGCTTCAGTCACTTCTGTGGCCAGAATGCAAGCACAGAAGTCAGTTGTTTGTATATTAATTTTTTCTCACTTAAATTCCTTGGATGAGTAAAATAACTGAATTTTTGTTTAAATTGTTGTGCGTACTAACCCTATTTTGAATGCAAGTTTACCGTTTCTTAACATCTTGCAAATAAGCTTACTAAAACCTGTTAGGACAGTTTAATAGTGTACTTCAGTGTTCTAGGCTTCATTGTTTAACTGTTTTCATTCCAGTAAAAACACTGCATTCTATGAATATGAATTTAGTTTCTGTGTCTGAGTTCAGGAAATGCACTGCATGTCCGGGTGGTTTTCACCTTGATTTGTCCTTCCTGTTTGTTCAAACAGTACGTGCAATGTGCATGGCCCTAAAAGCTGGGCTTTATTCTGCGTTTGAATATAGCTCCTCCAGCTGGGGATTGGTATGGTAAGGTACCATTGCTCAAAAATGCAGATTTCTTTTTTCTGTTTATTTTTGAAACATGCTAAAATTTTCAAAGAAAGCAAAACACTTGCAAAGCAATGTGAGTTTCAAGATTGTACATCACAACAAGTGTTGGTTTTAGGTATTTAATTTAAACTGCTGTCATGTTGCTTCTGTCTTCCATTCAGAGTATTTCAGATTTGAAGTGTGACAGTTTTAGTTGTTTAGTAAATGGTACCTTAACAGTTTAAATGACTAATGTAGATGATACGCATACCAGTCAATACTGCATGAAGAGCAAGTTGCTAAAGTTGGGTTCTTAATGCCACATTTAGACTCCTAAATGGGTGGCCTCTTTCTTCAGAAGTGCTGAGTGTTTGGCAGCTCTTGTTAAACTTGAAGGCATTGGGAGGATCTAACTGCTAAGCTCTTTTAGTCTTAGACTGTTGTAATTGCCCAAACTCTAATTTATAAGTCAGACTTTACCAGTTTATTTTTACTAAGGCAATACCTGCAACAGGACAGTGTCTACAGGATTTTTAGTGCAGTAGATAGTTTATCTGGGGCTGATTGAATAACACACAAAACCAGGTGTTTGTGTCTGAGGACCATACCGGGGTTATCTCTAACGGAAGAAAACAGCCTGCTGCCATACTCTTAACTTAAGACCTCTGAGTAAATATTAGGAGCCGCACAGATGAATTCAGAAGAATCAATTAGTGGAAGTTTGTGGGGCTTACCATACAAATGTTTTGGTGACTTTTTATGAACTAAGAATTTTCTCTTACTGTTAAAATTTAGTTAT